CCCCCACATCCCCAGAACAGTGCCCTGGATCCAGATACGAGTGGAAAAACGTGGTGTAGGAGAGTTGCAGCGCTCGGTGAGCGCTCGAGAGCCAGCCCAAGAAGCCTTGATGATAAGTTACTGCTTATGGTAGTTGCTTCTTTTTTATCGTTGGAAGCTTCTGGTGTTAGTTCAGGTATTTTCGGTACTAAATATTGGCTAGAACTTGATAAAAGTAAGAGTTTCACATGATTTGCCGCGGAATTCGTGAAAAACCAAAAAAAAAAAAAATTGAAAGAAATTTGTTGTTTTCGGTAACAGCGCTAGACTGTGGTGAGTAAGTACATAGGTCCCATGTGTAAGCCGATTTTAGCAACCAGGTTGACCTTGGAAGCCTAAATGGCGAAGGCACGATAGATTACAGCATGAGAGAGCAGTATGAGAGAAGATAAGAGTGAGATAAGAAGTTTCGGTCCATTAAGTCATACACGTCTTAACTCAACACCGCGCAACAGGATCTCGTCAGTATGATGGTCAGAGGAAAGGTAAGAGTGAGATAAGATGTTTCGGTCCATTAAGTCATACACGCCTTAACACCACGCAATAGGATCTCGTCAGTATGACAGTCGCAGTGCTCAACGGAAAGGGGAAAGAAAAGAGAAAGACGATAGAAAGAAGCAAAAGAGAAAACGATATGATAGTGGGATTAGATAGAGTAAGAATGGAGTGAAGAGAAGAGGAAAAAGAAAAAGACTGAAAGTTACAATTAGTAGATATGATGCTCGCAGGGGCCCGTAGTGTAATGGTTATAGCACTTATTGGACCGAAACATTTCTTACAATTATAAAATATTTCTTGTAATACATTTCAAGTTTTTATTAATTTCTTCACACCACTAGCTTTCTTTTTCAAGCATTAAAATTATTTTTATAACACATCATGTGGATTCGAAGGACTTGGCTCGGCGATTCGAAGGGCTACAAAAAAAGATAAACCCCTATTAAAAATAAAAAAAAAAATCAACAAATAAAAAGAAAAAACAATTTCATAAGAAAGGCTCTGACTAGAAGATCGCACTGCGTTCCCCCCGAAAAAAGAAGAAATATTTTCTCCCACTCAAAATACCTCGAATTATAATAGGATAATCCAAAGGACTACAAAAAAAAAATGAAAAAAATGGATATAATGCTCGATGATCCTCTTTTTTTGTTCGATGATTCTTTTCTGGTTCATATCCCCTCATTAAATAGATCTCCGTTCATGGCAGTGGGCTGGAATCAATCTTTTTGATTTCTCAGTTGAGACTGAGAGAGAGAGAGATGAGCAATTCTGGTGAACTGCTGTATTGCATTGTTTTTATGCGTTTTGTGCTGTGTAACAGCATTACAAAACACATATTGTCACGGGGTTGTGTGTGTGTATGTGTATGTGTGTGTGTGTGTGTGTGTGCGTGTGTGTGTGTGTGTGTTTTCCACATTTTGTCCCGCGCTTTCAACTCGGGAACCGCAAACGTTAGGCGACTGAAATTATGGTATAGTGTTCTCCGCCAGCGGGTGACGCGGCAAATTTAAATCCAGCCTTCCCGTACCTGCGGGTAACAAGTACGGCCCCGTGAAAGTTTTTTTATATGTAAATTGATATCTCAGGAATCACGGAGTCTAGGAGACTGAAATTTTAGGTTAATGACCCACTGTCCACGCTCAACCTTGCCCATCCAAATTCAGCGTTCCCGCGCTCTCGGATACCACCTACGGACTAGTGAAAATTTTGGCGGATAAACTGTTAAGTTGGGAATCACACAAAGATATTCATCCTTCAAGGTTTCGAATTCGGCTTTCATGCGGTGGTGCGTGGAATTTTTAACTGTTTTCGAATGTTTGAACTACTTTTGTATAGATTAAAGTACAAAGCAGTGAAAATCATTAATAGGCAATTGTTCGATGGGCTGAATTGCACAAAACGCATGGTCGCACGAGCTATTCTGGTGCGCGTTGGTATTTATTTATTTATTTTTTTTTCAGAAGCAAATATAAACGAAGCCTTGGGTATAACAAATTGGCCATCAGCAGCAGCACTC